GTCATTTAATTTTAAACAGCAGCTATTAATTATTATATAATTAAACAGTTTTATTAATCAAATTTGCTATTCACTTCTCGTTATCTATCATCCACCACTCACTATATGCTAATTGTCACCATTACCTATTACCATCATCCGCAATTTACTACCAACTACCTATTATTCACTAAATTTTAATCATTATTCCAAACTAGCCATAATCCCCACTAATGCCTATATATATATGCAGACAACTTTTTTGTATAATTTTCTATATAAGTTCTACATGTAATTAAATAAATAAATGTATATAATATTATATATCTTAGTAGAGTGACAAAAGTTATTTACCTTTTTTGGTACTAACCCCCTAGTATCCAGTAGTTATATTGAGTTTTGAGTAATCCGAAATTAAGTTGCATCGGATGCTACAAAAGGAAAAGTCTTTTCAGTGTCTGCTTTTCTATTTATAAGAGTCAAACTAAAGATTTTATTTAAGAAAAATTGAACTATTTTTACTCGAATCAATAAATCATTAGTAGAAAAACTAATTATCTAATAACATATAAAGTTATATGAAGAAGGTATATAAATAAATTGTCTCTCACTTATTTTCAAAAAAATAAAAAACAAAAGGCAAGAATGCCAATGCATTAGTGAAGCATTAGCCGTGTTGACAATTGGAATTAGCATTAAAAAAACAAAAATCATTGTATAGTACAAATTATATTGAATTATACAATATAAGTTATTAAATAAAAAATAAGCATTTTAATAAATATTAAAAGCTGTACCCATTTAATAATTTAGATTATAAAACTAAAACCTCTAAAATAAATATATTCCCATATTCACAGAGATACGGTTTCTGATTAATTAATAATAGATCCTTGATGTGGCCAGAAAAAATAATAATAATAATAATAATAATCATAATAATAATAGATCCTTGATGGAATCATGGAACAGTAAGGATAGTCGCATTTTGGGCATAGAAAAGAATACTGCCCATTAAGGACCATAAGAAAAATGAAACATAAACAAGGCGAAATTTAACATGATCTTCCACGTGCCAGTGATTTAAGCAATGTAGTATTTTTTTATTTTTGATAAAAATAAAAATTTTTAAATTTAAATTATCTGACATAAAATAATGATATAGTTTCAAGTAAGATTATTGCTATATATATATATATATTGTAATTTCACACCTTTTTATTTCCCGTGCTACTCAACAGCGGCAACCTCCTCTATTTCTCATTTTTTACTGTAATGTTATAGTTATAATATATTATTCAATAGATGTTATATATTATTATATAAATTAATATATAATATTATAAATAAATTGTTAAATAAAAAATTAATTATATAATGACATATTTTATTATTTTTTGTTTACTTTTAATAAATTTAGTTTAATTTTTTTATTTTTACAATATAAATTTAAATAAAAATTTAACAATTTATATAAATAACAATTAAAATTATTTTGTCTCTATATCACTTTTGTGAAGTATTTTTATTTAATTAAAAAAATATGATTATTATTCATATAAATTATTAATTTTTTACACAATATTTTTTCAATTACTTTCTTAATAAAATTATTCTCTAAACATGCCTTTTATGCCAATCCGGCCGATTGGACCCACTCATCGAAAATGGGGCAACAAGGTTTCAATTTTTCAAAAAAAAAAAAAAAAAGTTCTCTAGGTATACGATTGGTTAATGCCACAATCTAGACGGTTGAGGACGCCAAAAATACTACATTTTTATTTTTATGGTTTTTATTTTTGCAGTTTATTTTTAAATAAATTACACATTTTACAGTTATTAAAGGAGGGGGATCACCCCATTAACAAGAAATTTACTTTTCATCAATAATTATAAGATTTGTAATTTACTATCCTCACTTTTCAGTTATTTTTATACATAAGTTTTTATTTTTTTTCATCTTTTCATTTAATAGTTATTAAAACAAAATCTTCTCATCTAATAAAAAATTAATAACATATTTTAGAGTGACCTTAATAGGGGAGAAAAACCCTGTTTACATCATAAATTACAAAAATTTAAAATCATACCACATGTCAAAGATTTTTAGATGGATGGAGGAGATTTTATCATGTCAGATATGTAATTCTGAGCCCTTTGACAAATCAGCTATCATTTTGGAAGGAATGAGTTTAATTACCTTTTAAAGTTAAATTAAGTCTATTTTAACTGGAATTTAGGAGGAAGTTTTAGTTATGGGTATGAGTTATTAAAAAAAGAGAACATGTAGCGAAATCTGGAAGGTAATCAATCTGACCTTGTCAACTGTTAAGGAGTCCCACGATATCAAGAAACTGCCCATGACTTTTGAAACTTTAGAAAGTGGCGAGTTACAACCGGAAGAAGAAGAACAAAAGGGAAATTAAGAACAAAAGGAAATTTTGGAAGAGAGAATGGACGGCAAACCCTACTCAAACACTTGCAAATTTTTAGACTTTCACCTTTTTTGCAATTGCTTACAGATTTTGAATTTCAGCACAAATCCTAGTAAATTTAGGTTGTCTTTCATCATTCTAGTAGACAAATTAGTTCATGTATTTGTTTCAGCAATTTCGTTTCATATAATGAACTTCAATCTTTCAAATTTCTTCAAGGTACTATTCCTTTTCTATCTACAATTAATTTAATATTTATAATAAGTAGCATTTCTTCAATGATTACTTATATGGTGTTCACGCTTCTTCTCAACTTCAAGCATGTTAGTTTAATTCCTATTCATGCTTATTTTAGTGTTAATTAGGGTAAAAATCTCAAATTCTGCAGTAGATTAACTTCTAGATCTATTATTAGATAGCATTTTAATTTAACAATGAATATGTTTAATTTAATTTAGATACATCTTGTTCTCATAAATTTATTTTAAATTGCATGCAATTGAGTTTAATTAGGATTTGTTAACTTTAATTCATAGTAATGTTTAAGTCCTTGGAGTTGTCCAAGACATATTTTGCAACCCATTCTGCAGGAAGGCATCCCTCCCTCTTGTAAATTGTCTGTAGGGATAGATTTTAATTTTAAACCAACGTTTTTCCTGCAATCCGCAAGGAGGTCGACTGTGAGAAAGGAAAGGGTTGTTGGAAAAATCCTCCTTTCTTACTTTCAGTAAAGTAAATGGCACGCTCGCATCTAGATTTCGCACATGCGAGGCCATTAAAGGATTTTTGGGGAAACAATCCTTTTTTGGCACAACCAGTGGGATCTCACCGTGTCTTACTTACAGTTTTTAGATTCATTGTTCCTTTTTTCAAGAAAAGGCGTAGTTATGCCACTAAAAAGAAACATTGAGAAGGTTGCCCAAACTTTATAGATTGGGCTTGGTGAAGTCTAGCACGCTTAGAAGGAGAGAATGAGCCCATCATCCCACCACCATTGTCACCAATACTTGGGGAGCACTCCTTTGTCAATCCAACTTTCAACAAGGATAATGAATCTGGAGATGATGTTGCTCAATCTAGTGACTCCCTTATGAAAGCTATGTTAGAACAGATTAGCCTGATGAGGTGAACACAGTTGGAATATGAGGAAAAAGCTCAACAAAGAAGCCAAAAGATTACTAGATGAATGGACGAGTCTCTTCAGAATCTGGCCCAAAGTATACCTGACATACGGCACTCTAATGAAGAAAGTGCAAGAATTTGGCAAAGCAAAATGCAAAAAATTGAAGAGCTTTTCAAGCTGAGACAAAACGAATGCAGGAGGCATTTCAACATGCCAGAATTGAACCTCAACCACAAACAGCAGATCTTCAAAGGCAGAACTAGAATATTCCAGCTCCAACACTCGGAGGGCAAATTAATCTGCCACAGCCACCTCCTTAGAATCAACAAGCAGCAGGCGGACTGGTGTAGCTAGAACTTGTAGAGGCTACACCATGTGCAGAAGAACTGGGTAATTCCCAATAGCCTAGATACTTGTCACCTCAACGTTGACCAAATGAAGGACATCCACAACATAATGCACCTTAAATGAGGGAGCATTTCCAGCCTTATGTGCCACCCAAGCAACAAAATCTTCAAGGTTTGCAAAGTTAGTACATCAATCGTGATCAGATCATTGATCTGGCGCAGAAGGCTTATGGTCCAGTTTTAAGGCCTCTAGTCAGACTAGCTTATATAAAACCATATCCAGATTTTATAGACCAAGAGAATCCTTTTCCAAGGGGATTCAAGGTTCTAGAATTCACCTTATTTTCTGGACATGGTGGATATTTTACAATTGAACACATAGGCCGCTTCACGATTTAGTGTGGCGAGGCCTCCGGTGATGACAATCAGAAGCTCAGACTTTTTCTCAGCTCTTTAACTGGTATAGCTCTCACCTGGTATCTGAGTCTGCCACAGAATTCAGTTTATACTTAGAGGTAGATGGAAGATCTTTTCCATATCCAATTTTACCACAGTGAGCAAGAAGTGTCCATGGCAAACTTATCTCATTTGGTGCAACAACCTAGAGAAACATCTGAGGCCTTCATTGCTAGATTTTGAAAGGCTAAACTTAAGTGCAAAGTTACCTTGCCAAAACAGGAGTTTGTCAAGCTGGCACAAAATGGTTTAGACATTGAGTTAGGGAAAAAGTTTGTAGGAATTGATTTTCATGATTTCTTTGAGTTGTCTTACAAGGTGGCTCGTTATGAAAATTTATTGCAAAAGGACACACAATGGAAATCCGCATCTTATAGGACTTATTATGGTAACACTAACTTTGATCTGGACATGGCAGAAGTGGTATAGACAAGCTAGTTGTTTGCCCATATTTGATTAAGGTAGCTCAAGAGACTAGTGAAATTTTTGACCCCTTTGAAAAGAGTGGTCTAATTAAGTTGCCATCAGGGCATAAAATCCCAATGACCGGTGAAATTGGAAGTACAGAATATTGCAAATATCATAATTCTGTAAACATTCTACTAACGATTGTGTGATTTTTCAAAATGTTTTAAAAGATAAAATCGACAAGGGAATTCTGTGTTTTCTAGATAAGGCCAAAGAAACTATGAGAGTTGATGGCGATCCATTCCCTAGCATGTCTGTTGGGGTAAATGCAGTAGATCTCAAGAGTATTGCTAGAGACAGAACTCAGCCATATTCTAGGTGCAGACTTGTAGCTGATGATATGAGATGGATCATTAAGGAAATAAAGGCTTGTAGAAAGCAGATCAAATCAGGCTCATCCCGAAGGAGAAAGCATAGGGGGCACAACATAACTCAGCAGAAAAATAATACAGACCAGGGAACTGTGATATCTGGACATGCAGAAAAGCCTAGAATGGTGAAACCACCACCCAGATCTTTAAGCAAACGGTGGGAATGTGTGGTTCATCCAAAATTTCCTAAGGTTAGTAGAGAGACGTCGACTACAGATTGTAGACTTGGGGGGCATGGCAAATCAGACTCAGTTGCTCCTAACAAGAAGAAAATCATTGTGGGTTCATAAAGAAAAATGAAGCACATTTGGTCAGACTTCTCCAAAAAAAGAATGAACCACCCAGAAGTCCAACATTACCTCAAGTTTTGACAGTGGAATCAAATGAATCAAATGAAGAAATTGGTTTGAAGGCAAAGTTTGATGTGTCAAATAAAGCAAAAAATTCATCAGATGTAATTCATTTTGGTGAGTTTTCCATAACTCTATCTTGTTTGGTGATCACTTTTTCTTTGGTCTTTCAAGTTAGAGAGCAATCATAATCTGTAGTCTGTCAACAAACAAATCAGACCGAGGAAGAAGGAATCATTGAGATCGTAGTTATGGAAGATGGAGGTGTGGATTCAATATAAAATCATTTATGAAAAACCAGAAGAGAGGATGGCCAGACATATCATGCCAATATACATTCATGCACATCTGGATGGTATACCGATAAATCAAGTTCTGGTTGATAATGGAACATCTGCCAATGTTTTACCAACTTGTATGTTGCACAAAATTGGCAAATCATTGGGTGATTTAATGGAGATAGAAGTGACAATTAGTGACTTTACTAGTGGGGTAAATTGCTCAAGGGGAATTCTACTGGTTGAACTCACTGTTGGAAATAGAACTCTCATGTGTGTATTCTTTGTGATTGACACCATTGCCACTTATAATGCATTGCTTGGGAGAGATTGGATACATTCCAGCTGGTGCGTTCTTTCAACTTTACACCAAAAATTGATGTTCTGGAATGGTGGCAGAACTAAGGTCGTGACAGCAGATGACAAGTTTTTTGTGGCAAATACCAATGCAGTGGAAGCTCGTTATTATGATGAAGATATTGGGACTATCCATTTATTTGGGATGGATCACTATGGCAGGCCTTCTAAAATTACTGCTTGCATCAAATCTATACTTGACAGACAGACTATGAAGGAGGTCTATGATGAACTTCTTCGGCCTATAGCAATTGTCCCTTTCAGGTTGAGGAAGGAGCCTAAAATTGAAGAAATTCCATGAAGGGTCTCATTATGCACCAATAAAAGGAGGCTGTGGAAGAAATCAAAAGGAAATTAACAGCCTTCCTTGCAGAAAAACGGATTTGTGTAGACATATCTGAGGTAGTTTATGAAGGTGAAGAGGAGGACTCAAAGGACCAGATAACTCTAGAGGAATTAGATCTGACACCTAAAAAACTCAATGATCTAAAGGCAGAAGTACAAGATCCCTTAGGTGAGGTAAATTTGGGTACCAAGGCAGATCTAAAAATTACTTTTATTAGTGGTTCTAATTTGGGTACTAAGGTAGATCTAAAAATTACTTTTATTAGTGGTTCTCTTGAGCCGTGTTTGCATGATAAAATTATTAGTATTTTGCGTGAATACAAGGATTTTTTTGCTCGGGATTATTCTAAAATGCCAGGTCTGGAAAGAAATTTGGTAGAGCATAGATTACCAATTAAAGAAGGCTTTAAACCTTTCAAGCAGCCACCCAGACGAATGTCTCCAGAAGTTACTTTGAAAGTCAAAGAGGAGATAGAGCAACTGTTAAAGGTTGGTTTCATCAGAACTTTCAGATATGTGGAGTGATTATCTAACATGGTCCTTGTCGTTAAAAAGAATGGCAAATTGAGAATCCGTGTGGACTTTAGAAATTTGAATCTAGCAACACCAAAAGATGAATATCCTACGCCTATTGCAGATTTGCTGGTGGATGGTGCAGCACGCCATCGAGTTTTGTCATTCATGGATGGCCATTGTGGGTACAACCAGATTTTTATAGTAAAGGAGGACATTCCAAAGACCGCTTTTTGTTGCCCAGGAGCTATTGGTACTTATGAATGGGTGGTAATGCCATTTGGTTTAAAAAATGCGAGTGCAACTTACCAAAGAGCCATGAACGCCATCTTTCATGACATGATTGGTTGTTTCATGGAGATTTATAGTGATGATGTGGTGGTGAAGTCCAATGAAGATGAAGAACATCTGATGCATTTAAAGTTGGCCTTTGAAAGAATGAGGAAGCATGGTCTGAAGATGAATCCTTTAAAATGTGCATTTGGTGTTTTTGTTGGAAATTTTCTAGGATATTTGGAGCATGAACGAGGTCTGGAAGTGGATCAAAACAAGGCAAGAATTGTTATTGAAGCATAGCCGCCAAGAAGTAAGAAAGAATTACAAAGATTCCTTGGGCAATTAAATTTCTTGAGACGTTTTATTTCAAATCTGGCAAGAAAGACAAGAGGTTTTTTGTCACTGCTAAAGCTTAAATATGAAGCATATTTTAAATGGGAAAAGCACCACCAAACTGCCTTTGAGGAAATAAAGCATTATTTATTAAAGCCACCAATCTTTCTGCCTCCTTTAAGAGGCAAACCTTTGATTTTGTACATAGCTACCGCAGATGAATCTGTAGGTTGTCTACTGGCTTAGAAAATAATAAAAAGCAAGAGCAAGCTGTTTATTATCTGAGTCGAAGTCTATCACAGACTAAGGTGAAATATTCTTCAGTCAAAATATTATGTCTTGCTTTATTTTTTGTTGCAATAAAATTGAGGCATTATTTGCTTTATTATGAGATTTATGTTATTTCAAACATAGATGTGATAAAATACATGTTGTCTTGACCATTGTTGAGGGGCAAAATTGGAAAATGGGTTTTGACTTTGTTAGAATTCAACTTGAAGTACATGACTCAAAAAGCTGTCAAAGGGCAAGCCTTAGCAGATTTACTTATAGATCATCCGTGCTTTGAAGTAGAAGTGGATGAGGAAAAATGTGTCAATTTATTTTCCATAAATTTTGGTCCTTGGAAGCTTATTTTTGATGGATCTAGTACAGATTCCATGTATGGAGTAAGAATTGTTATTATTTCTCCAGTTGGTCTGAAAATCCAAATGTCGTTCCAGTTAGATTTCAACTGCACCAACAACCAAGCTGAATATGAGGCGTTGACTATTGGACTAGAAGTGTTGGTGGAACTCAAGGTACCTGTGATAGAAATAATTAGTGATTCACAATTGATTTTAAATCAATTGGAAGGTGAATACAAATGCACTAGTCTGTCTTTAGCAACTTACTTTGCTCTGGCAGTGCAACTTTTGGAGGAGTTAGATGATGTAATCTTGAGGCATGTTACACGAGGTCTAAACACAAAAGCAAATGAGATGGCACAAATTGCCTTGGGCTTAAAAATCCCAAAAGGCATGAGAGCAGCATTGTTGTTGTGGAAAAATAAATTCTGCCATTTATTCACAAGCGTGGTATGGTGATTTCTACTTGTTCCATGGATATGACCCAGACAGATTAGTGTTATTCGACCATGGAATACCTTAAAAATCTAAATTTTAAGGTCTTAAGAAGGATGAAAATGCAAGCCTTGAATTATGTTCTGTTGGAAGGTGTTCTTTACAGAATAAGACATGATGAATTACTTTTGCGCTGTTTAGGTCGAGATGAGTACTACTAGATTATGTCAAATGTGCATGACAGAATCTGTGGTGCATACCAAGCTTGAATTAAGATGCACTGGTTGATTCACAAACATAGATTTTTCTAGGCATCAATCTTGAATGACTACATTAGTTATGCTAAAGGTTGCAAAGCCTACTAGATTCACCTACCACTGCAGAAAGTTCCAGCATTAGAACTCCATCCAATTGTCAAACGGTGGCCATTTCAAGGATGGGCCATAGATTTGATTGGCAAAGTTTATCCTCCTTCAACTAAAAGGCATTCTTTCATTATTGTTGCTATAGATTATTTCACCAAATGGGTGGAAGCAAAGCTAATGAAGAAGGTAGATCAAATCGATATTATTAAATTTCTCAAGGAAGATATCATTCATAGATTCGGTCTACCAGAAACGATAACATCAGATCAAGGGACAGTTTTTGTTGGTTCACAAGTTGAGGCGTTTGCAAGAGAAATGGGCTTTCGTTTACTCACTTTAACCCCTCATTAGGCTCAAGCCAACGGTCAAGTTAAAGCTTCCAACAAATTGTGATAAATTTGCTTGAAAAGATGGTTGATGATAATCTAAGGCGTTGGCATGAGTTGTTATCTAACATAATCTAGACTTACAGAACTTCACAAAGGAGTTCTACCAAGGTAACTTCATTCTCTTTAACTTATGGGCACGATGCTATTCTGCTTATGGAGTTATCTACTAGATCATTGCGTATAGCGATTCAACATGGTCTTACTTCTAGAGAATATAATGATGAAATGATGTTGGAATTAGAGGACCTTGAAGGCATGTGATTGATGGCCTTAGATAGGTTGCAAACGCAAAAGCTAAAAGTGGCCTGAGCATATAGCAAGCGGGTGAAATCTAGAAGTTTGGTAGAAGGAGATCTGGTCTGAAAAGCAATTTTGCCACCTGGAAAGAAAGATCCCAAATTCAAGAAATGGTCTCCCAATTGGGAAGGACCATTTCATATCCATGAAGTGCTTAGAGGGGGAGCATATTGGCTTGAATCACTAAATGGAGAGTTACATCCTCAAAAAATAAATTGGATCTACCTTAAGCCTTACTATCCTATGATATGGGAAGCTAGAGGTCTGGATACCATGAATTCTACCTAAGTCAAATTTTGGGGTAGGAATTGTGTAGTATTTTCCTTCTCTTGTTTAGCATTTTAATAATTCAATAAAAGTGCTAAGCTGAATATGTAAGCAGGCCAAATCTAGCCGTGAGCAACCATAACAACCAGATTTTGGCAGTGACAGATTTCAATTTGTTGCAAAATAGAACATGGCATACAACAAGTTGCCACAAGCATGGACAAAGAGGCTATGCAAGAAGGAAGTTGTGCTTAGATGTTGGAAAATGCTTGTAGGTCTATTTTTAAATTTGTGTGGAGTTTGTTGTGCTGCACTGCTAAGTTCTACTTTGTTAGTTCTTCCTTTGGATTCTATTTCCCTTAGTTTTGCAAGCTTGGCATCAAGGTTTGACATCTCCTCTTTCAGATGTTGAAATTATTTAACATGTACATTTTAGTCGCTAAAATCTGACATGTGGTATGGAGAGTTGGAGTTGGGCATGCAATTTATTTAAATTAAAAACACTTGGATTTATTTCCATAAAACCAAGTGTTGGGGGCCATTGTTTACACCAAAAATTGCAAAATTTTAAAATCATGCTATGTGTCAAAGATTTTTAGATGGATGGAGGAGATTTTTCCATGTCAGATATGTAATTCTAGGCCCCTTGACAAATCAACTGCCACTTTGGAAGGAAGGAGGTAAAAAGATAAGAATTTATCTTTTAATTTCCTTTTTAAGTTAAATTAGATCTATTTTAACTGGAATTTAGGAGAAGGTTTTAGTTATGAGTATGGGTTATTAGATCAAGAGAACAGGTGGTGAAATCTGGAAGGCAATCTGACCTTATCAATTGTTGAGGTGTCCCATTACATCAAAAAACTGCCCATAAATTTTGGAACTGCAGAAAGTGAGGAGTTATAGCTAGAAAAACGAGAACGAAAGGGAAATTTTGGAAGGGAGAACGGACGACCAACCCTACTCAAACACTTGCAAATTTTCAGACTTTCATCTTCTCTGCAATTGCTTATAGATTTCAAATTTTAGCACAAATCCCAGTAGGTTTAAGTTGTTTTTCATCAGTCCAGTAGACAAATTAGTTCATGTATTAGTTTCAGCAATTTCGTTACATATAATGAACTTCAATCTTTTAAATTTTTTCAAGGTATTGTTCCTTTTCTGTTTGTAATTAATTTAATATTTATAGTAAGTAGCATTTCTTCAATGATTACTTATATGGTGTTCACGTTTTTTCTTAACTTCAAGCATGTTAGTTTAATTCCTATTCATGTTTGTTTTATTGTTAATTAGGGTAAAAATTTCCAATTCTATAGTAGATTAACTTCTAGATTTGTTAGTAGATAACATTTTAATTTAACAATGAACATGTTTAATTTAATTTGGATACATCTTGTTCTCATAAATTTATTTTAAATTGCATGCTATTTAGTTTAATTAGGATTTGTTAACTTTAATTCACAATAGTGTTTAAATCCTTGGAGTTGTACAAGGCATATTTCGTAACCCATTCTATAAGAAGGTATCCCTCCTTCTTGCAAATCGCTTATAAGCGCAAATTTTCATTTTAAACGAACGCTCTTCTCACCATCTGCAAGGAAGTCAACCGTGAGGAAGGAAAGGGTCATTGGGAAAATCTTCCTTTCTTACTTTCAGCAAAGTAAGTAATACACCCGCACCCAGATTTCGCACATGCAAGGGCACTAGAAGATTTTTGTGGAAACAAATCCCTTCATTGGTTATCACAAAAACAAAAATAGAGAGGGGAAGAATTTTAATTTCCTTTAATCATTTTAAGCTATCCTTCCATGTGCCTCTACTCCCCTCCCTCCATTTCAACAAGAAACCAAATGTCCCCTAGTGTGATAATAACATCAACCAGTTCTGACTTCTGAACCTTGCGTACCATGTATTTTGTTGTTTCTTTATCTCTACCTCCTAAAAAGCATATTTTGTTGCTTTACTTGTTTGTTTTCTACAGTACTGTCGTTCTTGTATGGTTTCCAATATCAAAACTTGAAAAGCCTAAAACAAATTATATCCATTCGATCGTGGTGTTTATTTTATACACACACAAGCTGTGCAAATGCTTTGGTGAGAAAATGGACAGTATTCACTGTTATACACTGCATAGCAAACCATGCAATATGAAGTACACAAAAACTTGACTTTGTGTATACTGTCAAATAAAAATTGATAATCAAGCACAGGAAGTGCCGTAGCCATTTCCAAGTCGGCCTCTCGGTATCGGAGATATTATGCCCAACATATCAACCACGAAAGGATAAATGTTTCAATAGTTTTAATTCCCAGCTCTCTTCATGTATGCTAATAGACCTATCCCAGCAACTACTGCAGCTCCTGCAGCAACAGCACTGTATGCAGAAGACCACGCATCTGATTGAGCATATTCCAAACTTCCTGAACCAGTACTTCTCTTGCGACCACGTATTCCTGAATAATCTAAATGCAATCTCAAACCCTGCAAAAAGCATTTCTTAGATTTCAAACTTAATTGAGATGCCAAATCACTAATAGAAACATTGTTTGTCCCAATGTTAAAGCTATTAGTAACTCGTCATTGTGCTTGCAATATATAAGGAAAAACTTTTCAAATATCCAATGCTAGATCTCTTGTATACCCTAGAACTCCTTAATTCAAACAACAGAAAAATTTATGGATGTATCTTTTTTTTTTGCAAATAATGAAAGGGACAGAAGCATTTAAGAACTAGCTAGGGTCAATGCATACCTTCCAACCAATTAATCTTGCATGCTGCACAGCTGCTACAAGATCACCATCCGATGCCAGTACAACTTTATCATGATCCTCATCTTCATACTACAGAATATGGCCCACTGATTAGCATAGAGTAGAGTAAAGCATAACTAAGACCAAAGAACTGATCTTCAAAGATTATATTCCCTCTAAATATACCAGAATCTGAGGCAGGTTATTCCGGTCGATGTCATCCCCTATCCTTTGAAGGATTGAAGTAATTAAATCTGTCAAACTCCGGGTCTCTGCATCCAGAATCAACAAGCCAAAAAAAATAAAAAAACATTAAGCTAAAATTGGACTCATTTGCATGTCAAGACGCAGAAACATGATTGTCAGAACTTAGACAAAATGAAGAGTCAGTTGTTCTAGCAAGTCACTTAGATATCATAGACTGAGCTTGTCATCGAAGTAAACTTGTCTATGATTAAATTTGGGCATGCCAATCACATCCAACAGCTTCAGAGGGGCTGCATGCAAAAAGCAAGATAGACATTGATCTGGTGCCTAGCATAGAAGAAACCAGTTGCATACCACTAATAAATCTATGCATTCTCCCCCTTCTATCTTGGACTTTGAAAGCAAATATATTTGGCAAACTGGATGAAGATAAGGGATGAGATTGGCCTGTCTCTGGTCCCTCTGAAGCCAACTTCAAGGAATTTTCACTGAAATGAAAATATGTCACTAAATATTGGTCACAGAAATCACAACCATCTTATTACAGTCGCATCAGATAATTAAACCTTTGTGTCTCATCATCATCATCATCATTAGGAGGTAAGGCCATGGCAGAATCCCAAAACTTCTGCATCATTGTGTTTGCAGCCTCATTACTTATGCCAGCAATAGTCCCAACCTAGTGATTGAAGAAACTGACGAGACCATGAGATAATAATCATCATAAAGCTCCAATGAAAGGAAAGTTCCCATATTATTCTTTGCAGATTAGCTACCTTATTTTACCAACCAGCATATTAATTAGCTGATGACTGATTGACCATCATGAGAATGTAAACTTTAGGTAATTGAGATGAATAAAAGAATGATGTCACAATTTAGAATAATGCATTCAGATGGTAGTGACATGGAACTGGAAGGATAAAGGAAAAAGAAGAGGGAAAAAAATTTACTATCCTAAATGATAAGTAGATCATTTACTTCGTTAAGATCTGGATGCTGCATCAACTTGATATAACTATTCTCCATTGGAAAAAAAAAAAAAAAGAAACAAAATTAAAGCACAATATATTCAAAGATATCTAGGGGGCAGAGTGGCAACTTTAAACAAAAAGCATATGCAGGTAGACTTCTGTTGAGTATAATGATATTTTACCAGCGTCCAAAACTATTCATGACCATTCTACAAAATTTCCCATAAGCAGCTATTCTTGAAAATCTCTACTCAAAAAGTACTGCAAAAGCTTTTCCTAGGCCAAATGGACATGATTTCAATTATTCAAAATACATAATTTCTGTTAAACATCACTAAACTGACAAAGCAAGCAACTTTTAAATTCTAAATTCCAAAGCACCAGAAGCAATAGGAAAATGAACAGGAAAAGCAATCTCAAGCCACCTTTATAAAGCAGGAAGAAAGAAGAGGAGGTGGATAATGGGGAGACAAAAAATAAATATCTCAATTGCATGGGCGATCCAGTCATAGCAAGGGGAAAAAGAACTCTTGAAACATTAGCAGGGTTGTTAATTTCATGATGGTAGGAATTGGAAAAACCTTTTTCCAATTTTTTACAAATTAAGAAAAATACTGACTACAAAATGAGAACCTTTTTATTCAATAATAATTTAAATTGTAAACCAAATCTGTTAAATTAGCATAATAAGGAGCCAAATACTGAACAAATAGTTTTTTGCAGATGTTGGGCCTGTTCTACTGTAAAAATACTTCAACAACACTATAGTGAATCGTTTAGTCCACAATGGAGCAGAATTGACTTACTGTGGCAACAGCAGCATGAGTGATATGGATAACATCAACAACAGCTACAATATCTCCATCTGTACCAAATCATGGATTCTTGTCATGAAGAACTAGAAGAGCCCAAATGAATCTTTACTCTTATACAATAATAAGTCATATTACCTCTATCTACAACAGGTAAGTGCAAAAACTTTCCATCATGCATGACATGCAGAGAATCAACGATTGGAGTGTCAATTGGGGCACATTTTGGGTTATGAGTCATAACCTGTGCACCGCACCAAATCAATTACACATACATCAAGCCTATTTTCTTCTATATACCGGAGGGGGAAATGACGAGTGTTCATTCATTTGCATAAGAACTAAATAAAATTTCTTCCATGTACAAAAGTCAATGTTATGAGTCCAAAGCTCTAGTGATTGGGAAAAGAACACAAATCTGAAACAAAAGAATACCTTCTCCACAAGAGTAGATTCAGGAGGAAGATTTTGTGCTATTACCCGCATCAAGATATCCATTGATCTGTCAGAAATTCAAAGCCAAAAATTAAAATTTACACCAGATATTATTATTATGAGTTAGGATCACTTACACAAAACTCTTACACACATCCTTACACAATATCTTGACCATTTTTTTCTCTACTATGAATGACAGAGATTTATCCACTTTTTATCCTATTTTTTAGAGATAATTGTCTTTTTTATCTAAAAAGTTGTGACAAATCTCAACCATTCATAGTGAAGAGATGAATGGTCAAGATTTTAGATTTTGTGTAAGTGACATGCATGAGAGTTGTCCGTAAATGTATCCTAACTCTATTACAAATCTCAACCATTCATAGTGGAGAGATGAATGGTCAAGATTTTAGATTTTGTGTATGTGACGTGCGTGAGAGTTGTGTGTGAGTGTATCCTAACTCTATTATTATTATTATTATTATATCATAAAACAGACTTTTGCAGACCCCTCCCTCACTCAATAGTGGCACAACTAACTCACGTTAGAATTCCCCGTGGTTTATTTTCAACTGTTACAACTGCACAGCTTCCTCGTATTTCAAGCATCTTCTTTGTTGCTGCTAAAACTGTCTCAGTTGGTGACACTGTTACAACCCTAAAAGTAGCAACAATATTAGACAAAAGAACTTGGACTAAATAGTGCAAGTAAAATGTTGGGAACAGTAGTCTCATATAGGATCAAACAGATGTAAAAAGAAAGTATTACCTACTTTGAATTGTCTGCAATAATTGTTGACAGTGAGGGCCTAAACATTCGCTCCCGAAGAGTCTCTATGAATGTATTTTGACCTGCATATCAACCCAAAAAGATAGCAGAAAAAAAGAGGATATTATTCCAAAGGGAACTAAATAAAAGCAAAATAGATGGCATAAATAAGAAAGAAGTACACAAAACAACTGCAAAAAGGTATTGAGAATTCAACTGAATTTTAATATCTACCAACCAGAGATAGATGTTCCCCAATTTTTTTCAACACCTTCAACAGCTGCAGCAATAGCCTTTCCCTTTTCAGCTGCTCTTTCCATTCGAGCAATGGCATCGTACAAACACTTTGCTATATCAAGTAAAGCAATAACCTCCCCATTCTCCACAACAGGCAAATGTCTAAATTTTCCTGTTCAGAATGATACCATGAACATTTTCATGGAAAGCTACAAAACATATATCACATACTAAGGGGGATTTCCTTGACAAATTAACACTGACCTTGCACCATCTTCTGGAGGGCTTCCACTGCACGAGTATCTGAAAGAACAAATACAGGGTTCCTGGTCATAACTTTGGAAACAGGTGTTTCCTCCAGATTAATCTCGTGAGCAATGACTCTTGTTGCTATGTCCTGAAAAAGTCAAGGTAATTAATATGTAAAGAACATTATAGCATATATAGTCCAGTACCTGGAATGCATGGCATGCAATTATAAAATTATCAAAGCTCTAAATAGAGCATGATCTAATGGAATAAGCAGTGAGAAATAGAAAACCAGCTCCCAACCAGTCAGGCATCAAAGAAAAGATTGAATCTTATAAAAAAATCAATGGCAAATTTCCCATACCTTGTCTGTAAGGATCCCACAAAGCAATGCGTTAGAGTCAGTAAGCAATAATGCATCAACTCTACGAGCAGCCATCCTTCGGCAAGCCTCATAAATACTTGTATGTTCAGGTACTGTCAAGGCCTTGGACAGCCTCAATCTTTTCACAGTACGCTCTCCAGTCAGTCCCCTGTTCAACATTCCAGATGGATGAAAATCTTATATCTATTATTTTTAATATACAAAACGGTTTTGGAAGAAGCATATGACAGCTTTGTACTGCAAGACTGAAGTTATTCTAAACTTCTTTTCTATTCTGACCATGCATTGCCTCAAAAAGTATAATTGTGCATTTCCTAAAGTCTTAGAAATATGTGACAAAACACTTTTTTATCATCTAGTGCATGGTTAAAACTGAATGAAAGAAAGTTCATGTTTGAAGCAGTATACAACTGACAGCCTAAAAGGAAAAACCATTCATGAAACAACTCCAATATTTTTAACTCCTACCATTACATGGTTTCTACTACTGGACTAATCGTTGAATTATCTATATGTGAGAAACAAGAAGAAGCCCACAAGCCACAACAACCACTGAAACCACGACATGAAGAAAACATTAAAAGCCAATACTTCCTCTTTTGAGCTAATGATAGCAAACTTAAGCATTCATTTACAAGCACCCTAAGGTTATTTAGGATCATTGTAACAATCATTCATCTCATACTGCTAACTTGAAGTTGTAAACAAAGTTGACTTACGAAAAGCATTATATAGATTATTTTCTGCAGGAAAGAACTGGCAACCAATACAAGAAAGATACATATCTTTGTCAATCCACTCAATTTTCCTATTTCATAAGAAAACAATATCCCTTATTTAAGCCCTTAATGCTATAAAGGATAATAAAGCAGAAACTGATACAGAACGACAAAATGTTCCTTTTAACATTCTTTTTATTTTCTTTTTAGGACGACAATTCTTCAAAACAAATCAAAGCACCAGAATTTGCAATTCGCACCAAAATCAGGGGAAACAAGAAACTGGAAACAACAAAAATTTTCTTTGATTTTAAAAACACAACGAAACTAAGAAAAAGCACAAACTTACATGGGACGAGAGGCGGTTAAGGATTTCCGCGCTGAATCTGGGCCTCCACTCTCAGAAGAGGTTTTCTTCTTTAACGTCGATGAATTTGACAAAGACAGACTCTTCCTTGAAGAACCAGCCAGACTAGCCATTTTCACCTTCCAGTTAACCCTGTATTAGCACGAATGAAACCGCACAGAACTTACAATATTTAAAACGAAAGAAACGAATAGATAAATAAGTTACCAAAAAATTAGAAACTTCTGCAACAAAGAAGCGAAAATTCTTTGATCGAAGGGGGAGAATTCAACCGAACTTCTAGATCCTGGTAAAGTTATAGTTGCATAACAGATTAAGGATCGATGAAAGGCGAAGATAATGAATCGGAGAACGTGGAAGAATCTCCGACTCGTGTAACTGTTACGCAATTTAAGATTATTATGAGAAAGGTGGAACAATCGCGGTCGGGAATCTTGTCGGGAAGTTGGATATTCCCGGAAAATAGACCGACCGGATGGAGAGGGAGGGAGACAGGGAACAAAGAGGATGCCCAAGAACTGGGAGGGTTGAAATCTCAGGCAGGTAGGACCAATAGGATCGTAGCACGTCGACAATTTCAACTGAAAAAGCTCCAATTTTAGTGGGGATTTCTTCAAGTTTCCCATTTTCCTGGGTCAGTTGAAATTTTTACATAGAATGAAAATTCAGTGTAATTACCTGTTTAACCTTACAGATTTCTAACATGATTTCTTATGGGTTGTTAGTTACGAGGACAATGATGTCATTTTACTTGAATATAAAAGGCGTTTGTCAGAATTTTAGACATTTTTGGTTACAGAAAATGCTACTGTTATCCCGAGAAATACTCGCGGCCAAAGTGGCTATTTATGCGTTGTTAAGACCACTCATCCCAATAATGGTGGCGGTTAGACTCCCACCTTGTGTTAAAAAAAAAAAAGTGTTACTGTTATTCTAAACTGCCACGTGTCCGGCGGTATATGCGTCACTTGGGAGTCCCTGGTCCAGGTCTGGGATGGATATGTAGAGACAGAAATGCATCTTACCGTTGTGGATATGTGCGGGTTGGGGGCTTTGGCTTAATTCAAACTATTCAAATATAAAAGTATTTAAATATTTTTATTAAAAATAGTGTTTAATTTTTTACTTTTTAAAAATTAAAAATAAATCACTTTAAAAATATATTATTTTAATAAATTTTTATTAAAAAATTAAAATACTTTATTTAAAATATGAATTAAATTTTTTATTTTTTATAATATTTTATTAAAATAATATAATTTTAAAATAATTTTTTATAATTTTTAAAAAATAATACAGATAAATACTAATTTAATTTTTATTTATATCAAATAAAAATCATTAAGAGTACCTTAATGTTTTTTTAGTTCAAATTATACTTTTTTTTAAATTTTTGTAGAGTCTTAGCTATAAAACATCATTCTTGTTTGGAAAATAAAAATGGCAATGCCGCGGCAAACGCCCAGAACCGGCCAGAGGAAAGTCAAGGATTTCATCCTGGGCAAGAGTATCTAATAAGGGATTTTTACTAATTATTTAGCTTCAGCTCAAAAAAAAAAAAAAGGAAATTTTTACTAATTAAAGATATAGACTCTTTTTTACTAGTCAATGGGGCCAAGTTTTATGAGCTATCCAAAAAGGGTATAAAGTTTGGAGGACTGTAAATGAATCAGGGTGCTTTTAAAATTACGGTCGAGGGGTTTTTTTCTAGTTGTATAGTGTTTTTAAATATATGTATGTTTGATAATTTTTTTTAAATTGTTTTTCCTAAAAGTCACAGAAAATCACAGAAAGTCACAATAAATTTACAATAATTTTATATATAAAACTAGAAACTTTATTTTGAAATTTTTTGACGGTAGCTTTTATAAAGAACATGTAATATTTAATATAATTATAAAATTATCTATTAAAACTTAATTTTTTATAATTTAATTACATCATAATTTATAATATTTTAATAATAAAATCAAATTTAAAAATCCTAAATTATTAAAAAACTATAAATATTATATATTTTAATAATTATATATTTTACAATATTTTTTAAATTTTAATTAATAATAAATAAAATCTATCATATTTTTTCATACTATCTTTAAAAAATAAATAACTAAATACCAAAATAACATTTAGTTATAATTACAGTACAATACAGTTTAACATGACCATAGTCACCGTCACAGCTATAGTCACTATTACAGCCACAACCAATAACTACATCACTTTACAACAATTCTAAATGCACCATTAAATTATTGGTGAGATATTTGACCCAAACTTAAATTATATTTGATTGACCCAAACTTAAATTATATTTGACTCAAGGTTTTTAAAATCGGACCGGACCGGCCGGTTGAACCGGTTGGACCGGTACCCGGTCATGAAAATGGTTCGGTTCATATAAGAAAATCGTTTTAGGTCAAAATTGGTCAAAACCGATCAAAAACCGATAAAACCGGTTAAAAACCGATAAACCGATAAAAACCGGTAAAACCGGTGAAACCAGAAAAACTACCGGTTCAATTTCTCATGCAATCTTCTTTCAATTTTTTCCAATTTCACCCTTCCCATTCCTTTCTTATACCCATTTTAACCTTTAACTTTAACAAAATTACAAAATTATCAACACCAAATAAAAAAATCAATGCCTATAGTTTGCTCCTCTCATCAAACCTTCTTTATTGTTTGGATCGGCCGGTTCACCGGTTCAACCGGTTGAACCGATCAAACCAGGAACCGGACCTGAAAACGGTTCAATAACCGGTCCAGTTTTGAAAACATTGATTTGACTTGACTCAAGATCAAATTTGAAATAAAAAAATCAAGTCGAGTTGAGTTCCATTCGAACTCAAATCTTAGCTCGATTTGATTTAATTAT